CTGATTCCGGGTTCAAACAAATTTAAGAGTAAATTTTTGCAGAATATATGCTGTCCTCTATCAGTGGTTGCATCTACGATAAAGGGGAAAATATCATCATCATCTGGACTTTCTTCACCTGGGGTGTGCGTTGAGCTCATTTTTTCGTTCGATGACTGTTAATATGTAATTATCAATGTGTCTAATTGGTTGATTCCAATTGTATAAATGTACTGGTTTGTGTTTATACTGCTTTTTTATTCTTCTTTTTCCTCTTTTTGATGAATTTGAAGTTGTTTCTGAGTCAGAGAAATATAATTGATCGTGAATTGGGCAATTTTTATCTATTGATTATTTTAGTTTATAAAGTTCGTCTAAACTGTTGGTTTCTGATTCTGAAAATGCGTTTCGATTTTTTGAAAATCTTTTTCGTGTTATTTGTCTTTGTTTAGTTATTATTTTTCTCTTTAATGTTTGTCGTTTTGTTCTAATGTATCCAACTGTTTGTGTATGAGGTGTGATTACAAGGTCGTATTTTTTGTTATTTATTTCACAATTGTGTAAAACGATTGTTTGTTTATTTTCTAGGTTTTTAAATGACATAAGGTTTAGGATGACGGATGCAAAAGGTTGTTAAATGATTTCTATTTGCTTAAACTGTTAGTCCTTACGATTTTTTTGTTAGCCTAACCTGGGTCTATTTGTTCAGGGTTGGGGAGAAAAGTATATCGATTCCGAAGAATGGTTTTATACTTTCTCGTGGCTAGTATAAGCTAAGATGTTAACTTACTTAATCTTACTTAAGGGTAGTGATTGTGTTCAGGGTTGGAGAATAGTAAATCGATCCACAGGGTTCAGGTATAATTAGAACGCGAGTAGTTCGTTAGATACTATTTTAAACTTACTAAGTCTAAGATTTATCCTGGGTCTGGTAAGAGGGGGGATCAAGTGAAGGATGAATAACCGAAGTTCTTCACTGTTTATCCTAATTTGAATGATTAGTTTTGTTCAAAAATTTCTATTAGTCCTGGGTTTTTAGAAAGGGTTGGATAGTGAATCGACGTTTGAGGTCGTTAGACACTCGTTTAGTGGGTGGGGGAGAACAAAGTTGTTCTTTTTGATCCAAGGATAGGCCTTGATGATCAAGTTTTAAATTTAATTAAATAGAAAATGATTTAAGATCCAAGGATAAGCCTTGATGATCTGATTTTAAAATTAAATGAATTTAAGTTTAAAATGTTTTAAATTTGTGTAAAGAATAGATTTAGTATTTTTATGATATTAGTGAGCTTATGATTGCTGTTATGTTTAGGCGATGAAGCTGGAACAACAGGATGATTTATAATTACTAATCATTTATTGTCATGCTACTAATTTTTATTTTGATTTTTCAATAAATATTTTTCAAACATGTTTTGTATATTACTGCAGAATTTTGGAAAACGATCTGAGATCTTTTTATCAATCGTTATTGTATATTAATAATTTTGTTTAGCGCCTGAAATGATTTTGAAGATTGACTTCAAAATTTTATGTTTGCAAATGAAAATCTAAATTCATTGCTAGTAGTATTCTAAATACAAAAGTTTGTTCTGGCTTTTGCCGAACTATCATATAACTATATGGTAAGTTTCTGCTTTGTCGTATGTCGTCTCTGGTTCGAGGTCTTCTTCCAATTCCGGGTAGTTCTGTTATCGTTCGGAATATTGGCTCTGATCTATTGAGTCGTAGAGACATTTCGATTAAATTATTGTCGTATAACATTTTGTAAATGTTTTGTCTAAATTCTAATCTATTATTGGTTAATGCTAAGCTATTAAGGTCTTGTTCGAGACTTATGGTCGCACCAGATGAGTTATGTTCGATGGGTATAACTCATAGAGTAATTTCGGATAGGGTACATCGTCTGCTCGTCACGCTATCTTATTTTCGGCCGGATAGATTCGTGCAACTTCTTAGTCTAATACCGATCCTAATCTTACTCTTATACTATCTAGTCTCAGGTTGTTTAACTAGTCTCTGCTAGGCTCAATAGATCTAGGGTATACTGGTTTATTGCGGCTGCTGAAGTACTCGGGAGAGTTCAACTAATTTCTAAGTTAAATTCAAATCTCTCTGGTGCTGAAATTACAAGTAATTTCAGCACTTACAAATAAGTGGATTGTTAGTTAGATGGATCATGATTGGTTAATATTAAATACTTTACATTGGTAAAATATCTAATTTATCCAATCATAAAATGTAGTTTAGATCAGGTTCCATTTGCGTAACCAGCTCGTCACTTTCAAAGTAAGCTATGAAAAGACCATTAGTTAACGCGTCGTTGTAAACGTTTACGAGCATTGAATAATCAGGTGTCGACTTGTATTTTGTCTATTACAGTAACGTATATGTTTTGTTGTTCCAGTAGATTTTGTTGTTTCAGCAGGCATATCACTGAAATGTTGATAGTCGAGTTTGAAATATAAAACATTTTTTAATTGTTAAGGTCTTGATTTTGACCTCTGATTTCTTAAGTTCAGCTCAGTGCATTTCCTTTGTTCGAAAGGAAGGCAAACTCCACTATCGAAGAGCAAAAGTGTAAAGGTCACATATGTTTAAGGGTAATGAACGTAGTGAAGACTCTTATATAGGTCTTGCTGATTTTTTTTCTTTGTTTTTGTTTTCAGGAAAAAGTCTTAAAATATTAATGCACTTAGGTATAATGCACTTTTTGAATTCAATTGAAATTTATCTGCTGAAAATGACGTAAATAGCACTCTCCAAATGATAACGCGGAAATGGCGCAAAAAACGCGAACGATTTCTAGTTTCGAAAGTGGTATTTATTTTTAAGATTTCCCAGCGGATTAAAAACTTTAACTGTTGATCCAGTTTTCTCAAGTTGGTTTATGTTATCAAAAAAGCACCAATCATAAATTTTTCTTGAAATTCAAAGAGCTTATAAGGCATCTATTTTTTTGAATTTCGAGAGTTGAGGTTTTTCAAGAAAGTCAGTGGTTTTTTAGGTTTACATGCGTTCATTACTCTTTTCCAATCTTCGATTGGCTATGTTTAATTTCCAGATTTCACAGCGGAATATAAACCATACCTTTCAATGCAGTTTTCTCAAATTGAGTTAAGTTTATCAAAAAAGTGTAAATCTTAATTTGTTGTTGAATTTTAAAGAGCTTTAAGGCCATATACCTTTTACGTTGAAGTTCAAAAGTGGAAGCGTTTACGAAAAACAAATCAGTTTTTCTCTGTTTCTTTGCGTTAATTGAATATTTTCCAACTATGTTGGCTATGTTCAATTGTTCGTTTTCAATACAAGTGGGTTGCAAATAAAAAGGCTGATTTTGGTGGGACTTTCGTTGCATAGTGTTAGCAGTTTAATAGCACGAGTTTCCGCTATATCAGTGGCTAGTGTTTAGGTACTGAAGCGTAGTTCCGTAGTTGTGCGTAGCAATCGATTTGGAGCTCCAGGGCTGTGGAGGGCATTTATTTTTCAGTATTCATGAATAGTTCTATCACTTCTTTTTTGCTTTTTTTCTTTTAAGGCTACTTTTCAGCGCTTTGTCGCTTGTATTTGCGAAGCACACCTCCGCCGCGCTGTCACTGGAAAGTTCAAAGACAGTTGCTAGGTTTTGTGTGTTGTATCTATATGAATAATGGTTAATTTTATGTTCAGCTATACTCAATTTTTATTGGCTTTAGTTAAGTTCCAGCGACTAGGTAATTAATTTTTTCTTACGTTCAATTTAAATCCATTCATGTACCATTTGTAAGATTTTCTAGCCAGTCTTAAATCCAATCGTTGAAATATTACGAAAGTGAATGATCCTTTTTCATGTTTTTTTTTTGTTTCTTTGTGTCAGCAAAACTCAGCGCACTTGGTTTCCCCTTTTACCATTTGTTTGTTACCATTTTTTTAGCGTTCTTGTTGTTCAATTGTGAGTTATCCTTTGTTCGAGTCCAATTTGAACTTTTCGTAATTTTCTTATTCGCAAGATTTTCTGTTCAATTTCAATTTTCAGATTGTTGAGTGACTCGAATATCAGCTTTGCCTGCTTTTACAGAAGTGAGCTAGCGAGCGTAGTGTTATATTACAAATCCGCATTTATCTATCCGAACTCACAAAAAAGGAATACCTTTGTGGCACTTTTGCTGCATATTGTTGACAATTAAATAGCATCAGCTGTAAACTTTTTATTGGTTGCTAGTGTTTGTTGATTGTCAAGTGACGCAGATGCGTGGACGAGTGAATCTTGATTTCAAGGTCCTAGTGTTGATTCCGGCACATAGTAGAATTTTTTCAGGGTCTATCTGTACTTTTTTATTCCTTTTTTCTACTCTTTGAGCTACTTGGTGCATCCTTCTTGAAATTGGCAGTGTCGCCGCTGTGTACAGTTTTAATCTTGTGTTCAGAACAACAAAAACAATCATCCGCCATTTCGCAAGTAGCATAGTGTTATGAACACGCAAGCATAGTGTTATGAACACGCAAGAACACGGTTATTTCGCAAGTAGCATAGTGTTATGAACACGGTAATTGAAGCAAAAACGCTGTTAACTTACTAAATATGTTTTCGAATTTTGTTTCGAAATTATGAGAGTTTTTCCGGGGTAATATGGTTCAATTGAAATTAAGCTCTGATTTAATTGATGATAGACTTAAATATCTACAATAAAATTTAAAATGCTAACTGAAATTGTGTGATTTACTCCATCACAATTTTATGATAAGGTCTATCCCCTGCAGAAATATGTCTGAAAAATATCTCGAAATCTAGCGATGAAATAGCCTTTTGGATTTTTAATCACGACTGAAAGACTTTCGTTATGTTAAAGCACTTCCTGCACTACAAGCGTGCTTTTAGGTACCTGATTTTACGTAATATAAATGCGCCCTTGCCATAGTTTATCATTCTGAAATAGGTGGGAACAATAATATAGCAATATCACCTTGCCATTGATTAATGTGACTTGTGATTAATGTTTTTATATAAATTGAAAGGAGTTTAAAATGCATGTATGTTACAGGAGTGTTTGGTGGAGGGCACAGAGTGGGACAGGGTGAAGCTGCTGTCGATGCAGGCGGACGAGGCAGCCAGACTGGACAGTCGCAAGAGGCGCAAGAATCCGGACACTGGGTTCGCCTCCTTCGAACAGGCCTCCTACAGACAGTACGACAGACTGACCAGACAGATGACTGTGGATCAGAGCGAGTACACTGCACACAAACAAGAGGTGCCAGCCACTTACTTTTCAAAATGTCATTTTTACTTTGACCACTTACTTTTGCTCGTTCCTTGAGGTGAGGCAACAATACCCAGCCCAGAAAAATAACCGAAAAATGCATGTAGTTTTTAAGCTGGGGCACAACAGCGGTTCTCCGTGATGAGCTGTACAGCTCGTTTGTTGGTCCTTTCCCTCGTGGATAAATGGTCTTAAAATATCTGGAAGTTGAATTAAGTGTTCGTAAATGCTGTTTTTACCCTTGCGATAACCGGGCACTAGACTTTTTTTGAAAATTATTTTTGTTCAGAGAGTTCGCAGGTGATATTTTTACGTTTTTTTCTGCCTTAACATAAAAGTTAGTTTGCAGGTAATTCAGTTCCAGGATTTGTTCGCAAATTTTTGTTCAGTCGATTCATTTGCTTTTAATTATCGTCATTTATTTTCTATCGCAATCGTTGCGAAGCTAAAATTCGCCTCTGTGTTAAACTTGCAAATGAGAAAAGAAGGGTGCAAAATTGTAGATTAAAACGAATACACTGCACATAAAAGAAGAAGTGAGCGTTGAAAATTTTAAAAATGCTATTCGAATTAAGTTTTTCTAAATGAGACCTTTCGAAAATACAAATGAAATACGTGAGTAGATGACAAAATTCTATGAATAGTTTGTGCGGATCATGGATGATTTCTGAAGTTGCTATTAACATTCACAACGGCGGAATGTAGTGAATATTTGAATACAGGAGCTTGGCAAACTTTGTCGAGATTTTGAGCAACGAAGTGGAATTTATGAGGTTGCTTTTTCAAGAAAACTCGTTTATAATGATGTCACGCTGTTGTTAAAACTTTCAGTTGATCTCGCTGTGTTGGCGATTTCGAATCTTGAAACTGTTAATACTTAGTAAGATTCTAGTTTTATTTGAAATAGAACCTTTTAATTCGCTCTTGTTCGCCTGGCTAATTAGTGTTCAATATTTTATGCATGAAAGAAAAGTTTTCTAATCAATGAGTCAACTCAGCAGAGAAAGTGAAAAGCTATAGTATAAATACCGGCCATCTTAAAATTGTTTATCATGTTTCTTAATTTTAACTAAATTTTCCTTAACTCAATTACATGCACATTTTCGTACGAATCAAAACAATTTTAAAATCAAGTGAAAATTGTGAGATGATGAGATTTAATTTTAAGGTGGGAGAAGAATCGCAGAACGTGAACTCCATGTACCACGGAACACACAAACCCTCAGAGGCGAATGTGGAAAGAATGGTGGGGGACTTGGAGAAACAGGTGGCGAAGAGAGCCAAGTTCAGCAGACGGAGGACCTTCATAGAAGACAGAGACGTGGACTACATTAACGAGAGAAACGCCAAGTTCAACAAGAAGATCGAACGCTTCTACGGCGAATACACAGCTGAGATTAAACAGAATTTGGAACGGGGAACGGCTATCTGAGAATGTGTTTTTCCACTCTGTGTCTGTGAGGCATATGTTTTTATTTGTTTTGTTCATTATTAATTAGCAAAGTATAGTCTGAAGATAGTACATTTTTTCGCATGCTCAGAACGAACGCATATGGTGATTATATTCACATAACCGTGCGAATAATTTTTCACTGTAATATTGGGAACATTTTGAGAACATCTAAAAAGTCGATGGAGAACATAACATTCAACCAACTTTGACGTATGATTTTCTGCTTGCAGACTTCATGTGCTCCGGTCGACATAAAAATGACAAGAGTTAAATCACGTTAATGTCACTTTTTCTAACGCTCACAAGACAGACAGCGTCGTCGATTGGAATCCCGAGGTTGCTACTATTACAATACTGGACCTGCTCAGCTAACTATTCAGGAATCGATTTTTATGCTTAAGTTTGAGAAAAGCTCCGAAGTGGACAACTTAAAAGTAATACAATTACTTAACGCGAGACTGCTCTTCAAAAGTTTTTAAAAAATCGATATAAAAATTGATTGAATGCAGTAGACCAGAAAATGCAATTGCTATACCCAGACTTGCCAGGAAGAAACCTGCGTTGTAAGAACAACAAAAACGGTCAACTGATAGTTTACAATGTGACTTTTTAGACAGTTTAATTGGACCGTTTCTATGGCTTCTAATTTGTTCTGCTACTGGCTCCAAGTGTATTTTTTCAGCCGCTTAAAGTAGAAGAAATTGAACAGTATTTCTTGCCTCCAGATAATTTTCCCGAAACATGTACACGTTAGTTAGTGTAAGCCGCTAATCAAGTAGCGTTAAATAAATAAAATCGGTCAGAAAATATTTTGTGACATAGAGAGGACGAATAAAAAATCTGGATAAAAAATCTAAACAAAATATGTCAGAAAATATTTTGTGATATAAAGAGGACGAATAAAAAATCTGGTGGCGCAAAAATCCATTTAAACTGTCTTCCATGTATTCACAATTGAATTCTTTAAAATGCTATCTAGTACGTTGATTTCCCTAGCTCTCTGGTCTGCGAAAAATCATGGAATACAAACGGGATTATACAAACGGTTTTTCTGACTCTTGATGTTTCGAGCCTGGTTTTGAGTGGGAGGTAGCCCTTTTTCTTGCTTTTGTGTGCATTTTTGCAGGTGTGAAAAGTCATAGAAACTTTCAGCAGCTCGACCGTAATCTAACTGTAGTTCAGCTTATACATGTAAATTTAAGTTAATGAGCGTTGTTTTCACGGGAAAATTTCACAACCAAATTTTGTTTTGACGTTTGCACTTGAAGTTGTCTTAAAGATCAGTTTCTATAGTTACTGTTTGCTAATTTTAGGAGCTTATGTGAAATTTTCATTTTTTTAAATATAAAATTCTAAACTTTTTCGATTAAGTGTTTTTTTTAGCAACACTAATTATTTCAAAGCGCTGTTTTTCTGGTTTTCCAGTATTTTTTATTTTAAATATTTTTAAGTGTAAGAACAAAGTCGTTTTCATTTTCATAGGTCTTTTACTACCCTTGCGATAGCAAGGGTATTGCAATCGAGTACTATTCTTTTTTCCCGTAAATAACTTTAGGCAGAGATTGGTTTTAATTAAAAATTTAGGTTCAGTTCTGAATCTATTATATATTTAAATGCGGGCTTCACTATCTCGCCATGCTTAAGCTTTTTCAACGTATTATTTTTGCATGTTTAAGCTATATCGTATATTGCAATGGTTAAGATTTTTTTTTTTGATTTTCCAATTTAATTTTAGTGGTTATTTTACCGAGTTTAAGTTAAGCAGCCCAATATCGAATTAGGGGTTGCGAATTTGGCCTCCAATTTTGAAGGCCCGAATCATTTTAGTTAACGAGATAAGACGATTTTTGAGAATTTTTCAAAATTTTTCAGAAATTTCAAATAACAAAATAATTTACAAAACTTGAAGTTCCCAACCCTGTAGTTGGGTGCTGTCGGAGTACTCTAAGGAGTTACAAATCTTGCCTCCAAATACGACTGTTCAAATCCTTGTAGTTTTCGAGATATGACGTTTTTTGTGATTTTTTCAAAAAATTTTCTGGAAACTTATATTAATTTTTTTTCGCAAAATCTGAAATTCCCAACTCTGTAGTTGGATCCTGTCAGAGTAATCTCAAAGATTGCGAAACTTGCCTCCAAATATGACTGCTCAATTCTTTGTAGTTTTCGAGATATGACGTTTTTTGTGATTTTTCAAAATTTTTCTGAAAACTTAAATTATGACCAGTTTTTAAAAATCTGAAATTCCCAACCCTGTAGTTAGGTTCTGTCGGAGTACTCTCAAAGATTGCGAATCTTGCCTTCAAATATCACTGCTCATTTCTTTGTAGTTTTCGAGATATGACTTTTTTTGCTATTTTTTCAAAAATTTTCAGAAAACTTGAATTATTTTTTTCTTTAAAAATCTGAAATTCCCAACCCTGTAGTTAGGTCCTGTCAGAGTACTCTCAGTGATTGCAAATCTTGCCGCCAAACATGACTGCTCAATTCTTTGTAGTTTTCGAGATATGACGTTTTTTGTGATTTTTTCAAAATTTTTCAGAAAACTTAAATTAGTATTAGTTTTTAAAAATCTGAAATTCCCAACCCTGTAGTTAGGTCCTGTCGGAGTACTCTCAAAGATTGCAAAACTTGCCTCGTATGACTGCTCAATTCTTTGTAGTTTTCGAGATATGACGTTTTTTGTGATCTTTTCAAAATTTTTCAGAAAACTTAAATTATTAATAGTTTTTAAAAATCGGAAATTCCCAACCCTGTAGTTAGGTCCTGTCAGAGTACTCTCAAAGATTGCGAAACTTGCCTCGTATGGCTGCTCAATTCTTTGTAGTTTTCGAGATATGACGTTTTTTGTGATTTTTTCAAAATTTTTCAGAAAACTTAAATTATTATTAGTTTTTAGAAATCTGAAATTGCCAACCCTGTAGTTAGGTCCTGTCGGAGTACTCTCAAAGATTGCGAATCTTGCCTTCAAATATCACTGCTCATTTCTTTGTAGTTTTCGAGATATGACATTTTTTGCTATTTTTTCAAAAATTTTCAGAAAACTTAAATTATTTTTTTCGTTAAAAATCTGAAATTCCCAACCCTGTAGTTAGGTCCTGTCAGAGTACTCTCAGTGATTGCAAATCTTGCCGCCAAATATGACTGCTCAATTCTTTGTAGTTTTCGAGATATGACGTTTTTTGTGATTTTTTCAAAATTTTTCAGAAAACTTAAATTAGTATTAGTTTTTAAAAATCTGAAATTCCCAACCCTGTAGTTAGGTTCTGTCGGAGTACTCTCAAAGATTGCGAATCTTGCCTTCAAATATCACTGCTCATTTCTTTGTAGTTTTCGAGATATGACTTTTTTTGCTATTTTTTCAAAAATTTTCAGAAAACTTGAATTATTTTTTTCTTTAAAAATCTGAAATTCCCAACCCTGTAGTTAGGTCCTGTCAGAGTACTCTCAGTGATTGCAAATCTTGCCGCCAAACATGACTGCTCAATTCTTTGTAGTTTTCGAGATATGACGTTTTTTGTGATTTTTTCAAAATTTTTCAGAAAACTTAAATTATTAATAGTTTTTAAAAATCGGAAATTCCCAACCCTGTAGTTAGGTCCTGTCGGAGTACTCTCAAAGATTGCAAAACTTGCCTCGTATGACTGCTCAATTCTTTGTAGTTTTCGAGATATGACGTTTTTTGTGATCTTTTCAAAATTTTTCAGAAAACTTAAATTATTAATAGTTTTTAAAAATCGGAAATTCCCAACCCTGTAGTTAGGTCCTGTCAGAGTACTCTCAAAGATTGCGAAACTTGCCTCGTATGGCTGCTCAATTCTTTGTAGTTTTCGAGATATGACGTTTTTTGTGATTTTTTCAAAATTTTTCAGAAAACTTAAATTATTATTAGTTTTTAGAAATCTGAAATTGCCAACCCTGTAGTTAGGTCCTGTCGGAGTACTCTCAAAGATTGCGAATCTTGCCTTCAAATATCACTGCTCATTTCTTTGTAGTTTTCGAGATATGACATTTTTTGCTATTTTTTCAAAAATTTTCAGAAAACTTAAATTATTTTTTTCGTTAAAAATCTGAAATTCCCAACCCTGTAGTTAGGTCCTGTCAGAGTACTCTCAGTGATTGCAAATCTTGCCGCCAAATATGACTGCTCAATTCTTTGTAGTTTTCGAGATATGACGTTTTTTGTGATTTTTTCAAAATTTTTCAGAAAACTTAAATTAGTATTAGTTTTTAAAAATCTGAAATTCCCAACCCTGTAGTTAGGTCCTGTCGGAGTACTCTCAAAGATTGCAAAACTTGCCTCGTATGACTGCTCAATTCTTTGTAGTTTTCGAGATATGACGTTTTTTGTGATCTTTTCAAAATTTTTCAGAAAACTTAAATTATTAATAGTTTTTAAAAATCGGAAATTCCCAACCCTGTAGTTAGGTCCTGTCAGAGTACTCTCAAAGATTGCGAAACTTGCCTCGTATGGCTGCTCAATTCTTTGTAGTTTTCGAGATATGACGTTTTTTGTGATTTTTTCAAAATTTTTCAGAAAACTTAAATTATTATTAGTTTTTAGAAATCTGAAATTGCCAACCCTGTAGTTAGGTCCTGTCGGAGTACTCTCAAAGATTGCGAATCTTGCCTTCAAATATCACTGCTCATTTCTTTGTAGTTTTCGAGATATGACATTTTTTGCTATTTTTTCAAAAATTTTCAGAAAACTTAAATTATTTTTTTCGTTAAAAATCTGAAATTCCCAACCCTGTAGTTAGGTCCTGTCAGAGTACTCTCAGTGATTGCAAATCTTGCCGCCAAATATGACTGCTCAATTCTTTGTAGTTTTCGAGATATGACGTTTTTTGTGATTTTTTCAAAATTTTTCAGAAAACTTAAATTAGTATTAGTTTTTAAAAATCTGAAATTCCCAACCCTGTAGTTAGGTCCTGTCGGAGTACTCTCAAAGATTGCAAAACTTGCTTCGTATGACTGCTCAATTCTTTGTAGTTTTCGAGATATGACGTTTTTTGTGATCTTTTCAAAATTTTTCAGAAAACTTTGATCAGTTTCTAAAAATCTGAAAT